TTTAACACTTAAGAAATTTTTTATTGAATCTGCATACACAATTAAAGTCTAACGATAACATTTAGAATCTTAGTAACTAATGAATTGCTGCTTTAGTCATTGATAGTAATGGACGATAGATAGAAAGTTCTCATCAAACGACTGCCAGATCCTTTCTCTCAAAACGTGTTTTACTAGCTGGGCAGGATATTACGATGATGGATAGCAATACTTTTTCAAAAAGCTTGGAAAGAACGGGCAAAAGCTAATTAGTCGATATGATGACGGCAGTGTTGCGTCTTTTCTGGGCTTGGCTATTATGATAATCTGCAATTTTTTCACGTTTTCGGAAAATATCCAAACTTCAGAATGGCACTAAAAAGTAGAGACAAGAAATTGAAAACAATATTTAGTAACTCTATCAACATTTGCGATGTTATGTGCTCGTATTTAGACGACTTCTTTTTTATTTAACGTTTTTGTTATGACTTTTATCTCAGATGAAGTTGTACACAATTTGGGAACAGTTATCAGTGCATTATGGGGCAGTGATTCAATCGAGAAACCGTTTGCTGTTTCTTCTTTATAACAGGCCCAAGCACCGGTTTTTTGTCTGAGCGGTCTTTCAAGTTTTAATGATGGCTTATAGTAAGAAAGTTAAGTTAGTTTAGTTTAGTGCGCTGCTTCTTCACCTCTTGATGCTTTTCTCATTTTTTTGTCAGCAGCTTTAAATTTTAATTTAGATGATGAGGTTCGATTACTTTGCCATTCTCGGCGCAGTTTTCGGTTTTCGATTATAAGACGTTCAATTAGGCAGGTAGTGGTTGTACTTCGGAGACTAGTTGAATAAGTTAATATTGTCCCTTATATCCATTTCACCTACTACTTCAGTTTCCACTTGCATGTGCGTGCTAAGATATTTCTTGTACTTGTACGTAAGCCAATCTGTTCTGGGCGTTGTTAGGCAAAATGGTTTCACAACAACATTTGGTTGTTCGAATAATTTGATCATGTTATAGAGAAGCGTGGTGGGCAATAAATGGCAGAAATTAATAGATTTTTTTCGATTTTTGAGACAGACTGAAGTTGCTTGCTTATATGGTAAGGTCTTTCATCGGATTTTAGGAAATGATGTTTTAGCCAATTTCGAATGAGAATAAGTGTACCCCCATGCGCCTTATACTATGTTCGCACCGACATTCGTGTTTTCATAGACAAAAGAGGTTTTCACGCGAAAACTTGTGTTTTCATCCAAACAAAATCTGTCAAACGAAAACACGTTTTCGCTGAAAACCCCTTGAAAACTTACATTCCACTCATTATAATCGGTGCCTGCTCTAGTTTAATCGATATTATTAGAAGACATAATGCCAGTTGACAATTTGTTTACGTTCCATAATTCGCCTAAACGTACCCTACAAGAAACTGCTGATGGGTTCACCAATACACTCACATTTGATATTTTATTTTTATATTTTCATATTTATTATATTTTTTGTTAATTATATTATCTACTGAGCAAAAGAATTTTTCACTTCTGGTAGCGTTTCAGTCATAACTGACAATTTTCAGCTATTATGGATTTATGGTCAGCAATGACTCAGAAAAAGCAAAACAAACAAACAAAAAGAAAACAAGATTCTTAAGAAAATGATAGAAGCTTTGTTCTGCGCGCTGACAAAATTTTTTCAGCTATGACTGTCATATTACCCATCAGATGACCGTCACTGTTCTTGTAGGGTACATAACAAATTTAAACAAATAGATGTGTGAACTGTCAATAAAAACTTATCGAAAACACACAATGTGGTGTCAGAACGACTTTGGTTCCACAATCCACAAATTGTGTTTTTAAGAGGATTTCAATTAGGTGCGAACATAGTATTATCATCCGGATGGTTTGTGCCGTAGAACTCGTTCAATGCGTTTCAGCTAGTAACATAACGCCAACTTCCTGTTCTTGTAAAAACTTACTAAGTTCCGCCTTGTGTAAGCCAATGCCCTTTGCGATCCTTATACATCTGTTATACATCATTTACTAAAGCAAGCAATCTCAAATTGTAATTGAGCTTTTTAGCAACACTGCAGCCGCTATTTTTTATACTCTCGCAACTTGTTGCTACAGTGTATAATAGTTTTGTTCACCTAACGGTTGTTTGTATCACCTAAAACTAATCGAGTTAGATATAGGGTAATATATTATATATATAAATGATCAGGAGGAAGAGACGAGTTAAAATCCGGGTGACTGTCTGTCCGTGCAAGCTGTAACTTGAGTAAAAATTGAGATATCTTCATGAAACTTGGTGCACATGTTTCTTGGTACCGTAAGACGGTTGGTATTGCAGATGAGATTAGGGAGGGGCATCTGCAGTAAAAAAAAATGTTTAAAGTGGGCGTGGTTCTGTCCCTAATAGGTTTAATGTGCATATCTCCTAAACCGCTAAAGCTATAATAACCAAATTCACTGGGAGCAAATGTTTTTAGCACCTCTATTGACGGTGTGAAAATGGGTGAAATCGGGTGGCAAACCCGCCCACTCCCCATATAACGGTACTGTTAAAAAATACTAAAAGCGCGATAAATCAAGCACTAAACACGCCAGAGACATTAAATTTTATCTCTGGGATGGTATGAGATGACTTTATAGCTAAATCGGACTACAAGCACGCTTATTTCCCATATAACACCATTTTCAATTCCATCTGATTCTTTCACTTTCCACTATGCATATCAAGCAACAACGATTATATCGGGGTAAAACTTTGCGTGAATACTACGTTTAAAGTATGCCACCTTGTGACCAAATATTGTCTAAATCGAACCAAAACTGTTCAAGCCCCTAAGTACTAAATATGTGGACCCCAGTGCCTATAGTTGACCTTCTACCGAAAATATCAGTCAATCCATAAAGAAATCTCAATCGAGTATACCATTTGACTTTGCGAGAGTATAAAATGTTCGGTTACATCCGAACTTAGCCCTTCCTTACTTGTTTATGTCACATATTGCATTTGGTTTGTCATGGATGCCTGTGCCTCGTTCGCCCATAACCTAGCAAAGTAGCCGCATTGTCTTGGCGATGCAACTGCAATGCGATTTTCTGTTTCACATAGTGCGTCCTAAAAACCCGCCTTGTTCAGTAGCAGCAATCAGCATAATTCATATACATATAAATACAAAAATTACTGTACTCTTGCAGTAGCTATGTGTTATTATTATTGTTATAAATTTTTTTTTTGTTTGAAGTAAGAAAATATTCAAATGATTCGTATATGAATTTTGAACAGATGCTTATGATTTGAAATATATAATTTGTATATTTATAAATTGTCTTGAAAAAGAGATAAAAAGAAAGTATACTATGTCCATCCCCTACCTTCCTACCAATGGCCAGCCAAGTCGGTTCAGCCGTTCTTAAGTTATAAATAGTGTAATTAACACGATTTTGTTATATATATATATTACTCGTAGATGGCTTCAGTTGAATTTTTAGGTTTGCTGGCGTAGTCCAAATGTAAAACACATTTTGTTATTTGATAGTTGGCAATTCAGCTGTCAATCAGTAAAAAAAAGTTTTTTTAATCGGTTGCGTAGTTTTCGTTTGGTGTTCGTTGAAAAATGGAAGATGAAAAGGAACATTTTCGTCATATTTTGCTTTTTTTTCGCAAAGGGAAACACGCATCGCAGGCTCACAAAAAGTTGTGTGCTGGTTATGGCGACGAAGCCATAAAAGAACAGCAGTGTCAAAATTGGTTTGCCAAATTTCGTTCTGGTGATTTTTCACTCAAAGATGAAAAACGCTCTGATCGTCCAGTTGAGGTTGATGACGACCTAATCCAAGCAATAATCGATTCGGATGGTCATAGTACAACACGAGAGATTGCAGATAAGCTTCAGGTATCACATACATTCATTGAAAATCACTTAAAACAACTTGGCTATGTTCAAAAACTCGATACATGGGTTCCTCACGAACTGAAAGAAACGCATTTAACGCAACGCATTAACAGCTGCGATTTGCTAAAGAAACGTAATGAAAAGTATCCTTTTTTTAAAACGAATGATAACTGGGGATGAAATGGGTTGTTTACAACAATATCAAGCGAAAAAGATCGTGGAGTAGGCCAGGTGAACCAGCTCAAACAACATCAAAAGCTGGTATTCATCAAACGATGGTTTTGTTTTCAGTTTGGTGGGATTATAAAGGAATTGTCTACTTTGAACTCTTACCACCCAACCGAACGATCAATTCTGTTGTCTACATTGAACAACTAACGAAATTAAACAATGCAGTTGAAGAAAAGCGGCCCGAATTGATAAATCGAAAAGGTGTTGTATTCCATCATGACAATGCAAGGCCACACATATCTTTGGTTACTCGGCAAAAGCTATTGGAGCTTGGTTGGTATGTTTTGCCACATCCACCATATAGCCCTGACCTTGCACCATCGGATTACTTTATGTTTCGATCTTTACAAAACTCCTTGAATGGCAAAAATTTCAATAATGATGATGATGTCAAATCGTACCTGATTCAGTTTTTTGCTATAATAAGAAAAACCAGAAGTTTTATTTTTTTATTTTATATTATATATGCATTCCTATATTTCTGGTATTTTATTAAATATTTCCTATTCTTGTTAAAATCATATTTCAGATAAATTTTTTAATGTACTCTTTTTAATACGCTTTTATTAGCTTGGGTTGAAGGTATGTAATGGAATCTAAGAGCTAAATTTTCCCCGGTTTCCAGAAGTCTGATCAACTTGAAACTTAGCAGACGTGTCAAGGACCGATGACAATGCAATAATTTAATAACAGATTCCCATTACTTTAAAGGTGAGGGTAACCCCCCTAAATGCTCTTATGTCTCCTAAATTTAGATAGAAAGCTTAGAAGAGCTTAGGGGAGGAAACTTTCAGTAAATATAAATTGTGACAAATAAAATTGCCAATTATTCTTATAACTGTACTGTATGTATCTCATTAAATCAAATCGTTAAATAAAAGATTTTGATTGCTCATTTCCAACAAAGCCTTTATTAATTTTACACATATACTTGTATACAGATCCTTCAACTATTGCACAAATATTTTTATTTTGTTTCCAATAAAACTTATTTCTTCAGGAGTGTGGAGATGACTGGAGCAGAGTAGGCAGCAGGAGCGACTGCGGCAAAACGGGCGAATGGTGCACTGTACACAGCAGGAGCAGCAACTTGCGAGTAAGTGGCCACAGCTGGGGCAGAGTAAGCGGCGTGTGAATAGGTGGAAACGGCAGGTGCGGCATAAGCGCTGTAGGCATAGGGAGAGGCGGCGTAGGTGGCTACTGTGGGTACAGCTGAGTAAGTCAAAGGTGCCACGATGCCGGGGTTAGCTTGGGCGACGGCGAAAAGGAGAGCTAAGCAGATGAGGAACTAGAAGTAGACCGAGGCAGAAATAAGTTAAGTAAACTTTAACATACATACACATATAATACTATATCTTAGATTTTCTTTATAAAAGCACTTATATTTTGAAAATTTAAATATCCTTGTCACTTACTTTCATTTTTAAATTTGTTTAGATTCTTGATTGCTTTACGACGAATGTCTGTATCTGATGCTGATTTGCGAAATTTAAACACTATTTATGTATAGTTGCGATTTTTGGCTCAAATCAATTGGGCAATAACCACCTACGCAGCGAAATGGTTTTGTAATTGGCGTTTGCGCATACATGCATACGTACATTCATACATACATATGACCATGAATTCCAAAAACAGAAAATCTTTTAGATAATTATATTTAACAATTAATGCTTTTTAAACCGGTACACGTTAAAGCCCATTTGTTGACTTTTACTTCCGGCTTCTGTTAATACGTATGTCAAAATCATGAAAAAACCTGTTTATATGTTTATTGTTGTATTTCTATTCGAACTTTATTGAAATCTGAATTATCACTGTCACCATTTAACCATCAAACCATTAAAAGCAAGAAATGACAATTTACGTTAATTATCCATTATTTATGGGATTTCATACCGCAGTGCACACCTAGCGATATAGGTACTTATACTCCTATGAACACACTTCCGGAACTAGAATATTTCAATTCGTTATATCTACCTTTATTTGACTTATTTAAGAGCAGCTGTATATGAAGGTGTGTATGTTTATAGTTCTCCGATTTTTTTAATTGAAAATTTCGTTAATTTGAGAAATTGTATTTGCTTTCTCCCATAGGCATGACTTAAAGACCCTGAAAATTATGCTTTATATACAAACTAATATGTTAGCAATATGTGATAACGATGAGCACACTAAGTGCCTAGGTAATTCCTAAAATTTAGAACCTTAATGACATGAGAAGATAGAGCATTACCGGAAAGTCCTACATACTACTTTTAATTCTAACCGATATTATATTATGTATTACAGATGTATTATTGAAATAAAATTAATACTTTGTTTCTCTCAAAAACCAAAAGGATATCGAAAACAATAAAAAACGTTGTTTCAAAGGTATTTCTTATAGCATAAAATGGTATACAAATATCATTATATTGATTCGGATCGTTCAGTTTGTATGGCAGCTATATGATATAATGATCCGATCTGAACAATTTCTTGGGAAATTTCAACATTGCCTTAGGCAATAGCCCATGCAAAAGTTCTTGAAGACATCTCATGAAACTAAAAAGTGTTCCATACAAGAGCTTAAGTTGGATTAGTCAGTCGATGTTTGGACTCGGCGATTTCTATTATTTGATTGATTTTTCCGATAATTGGTCTTCCAGAGCGTGGTGCATCTTTGACATCGAATTTACCGGAACGGAATCGGTAAAACCAAAATTGCGCACGGTTGGCTGTTACAGTATCAGGACTATAAACGCTATTCACATTTTCAGCCGCCTGGCTTGCGTTTTCGGCCTTATCGAAGAAAAACTGTAAAATATAGCTATTTTCTCGTTGATAGTGCGCTCAAAAAAAACTGAATCAACCAATCACAAAACTGTCAGCAAAGTTTTTTTAGTACGATGTCATCTCTTTAACGCCATCTAGCGAGATACAGATAAATAACGCCATATATTGGAAAGATGTATTTCTTTTTACTACACTTAATATTTTAGAGGGTTTTCGACGTTACCTTCGCGGTGTTACAAATTACATAGCCAACTATCCGAAAACGCAGAAACTACAGAAAACAAGCTAATTCATTATGAAACCAACCCAACAATCCAGGCAGTTGGAAACAATAGAGCAGTTGTACCTACTCACAACTACTGTGGTAAGCAAGCAAGATGTGTCAAATGTGCAGGAAACCATAAGACAATAGAGTGTCAAAAAACATCATCACCATCAACCAAAATGTTGCAGCTGTGGTGAGGCTCATTCTGGAAACTACAGAGGATGCATAGTTGCAAAGGAACTGCAAAAAATTCGTGACCAAAGAACTGGTACAAAGAAAAAAGACCCGCATGCTAAAAAACTCGGTTGACAAAGATGTAAAAACCCTGTCAAAAAACACAACACGCCAACCAATTTCTTAAAATAAAGCCTCAGCAGCAAATGGGCAAACGTATTCGCAAATTCTAAATGAGAATACTATTCAAGTGATGCTAGCATTTTTCAAAAAAATTTAAAAAAACTTCAAAATATAATGAGTTTACTAATACACTTGAAAAGGGGCTTCATAAGGTCGAAAAAGCAGTAAAATAAATAAAATTCTAAACAACTATGCTATGTAACCCAAACGGTATTATACTTAACCGAATAATTATGCCCGCGGAGGAGCTGCCATTATAATAAGACGCAATATTAGACATCATCAACGAAGAAAACCGTGTATCTACATAATAATTTCAAGCAATAACTTTAACAATAGATAGCGACAACAACTTGTCCCTTACAGCGGCTTACGGGCCTCCAAGACCTCTAATAAAATGCAATAGGTATCTAGATTAATAGGTGCTGATCATAATGTGAAAGATACTCAAGGCATATAACCACAAAGGGCAGGGAGTTATTGAAAGCTCCATCTGACAAAAGTTGTCTTAACAAAGTAAGTATGTAAAAACTTACCAGTAAGATAAAGGCAGTTAAATATATAACTCCCTGCTATTATCTATCTAAGTGTACAAAAAACTTTTCTCGACCTGTAATTCAGCATCATCCAATCAGAAAGACAGATCAGACATGGGCCAAAAGCGATATAGAGAAAGCAAGCGATGAATAATTTGCTATGGCTCATTGAAGCATTTGGTGATAGATAAAAAGCTATTAGAATTAATTTCTTACTATTGATATCGTTGAAGTTGATTTTGCACTCCACTGTACATAAGTCCCAAATTCTTGCAGATGTTAATACCATGACATCAGTCACACTTGAGGAAGGAGCTTTTATTCGCAAATGAGGAGTAACAACGTAATATCTGTCCTTTTCATTACCATAGATGGAAACACCTGAATGTCGAGTTTCATTACATTGAAATATTAGAACAAATTTAACATTTGGTACTCATACAGAAGGTTCTTCATCGCTCATAAACGTTTCTGAAAACATCAAAATATTTGTATTTTGGAAGACTCGATCGGTAAAATAATTGGCGTGTGCACGAAGACTTAGACAATTAAACACTATTATCGAAATGTCTTTTTTCGAGTTAATAAAGTCGAATACTTGTATATCTAATGTGCAAATGAGATTTCCCGCAATTTGATCATCTCATTTCGCAGAAGGCTTTAGTTTTGAAACGGTACTTCTAAAGGAATCAGCATTTTTAGAAGGCTCTGAACTTGTAGACAGTTTACTAGTTACCGTATTTGATAACTCTTTTTCCATCGACGGCAGCGACATATCAAACAACTGATGTACACAATTTCGTTGTTGCCATACTAAAACCTTTCACGTCAATGAAATTTAAATATTTTTTTCAAAGTGAAAATTTTTGTGTAAAAAATAAGTAAATAGGTCGATTAATTTGTTTGAAATTATTAACTGTTATTACATTATCAGTGCTATTTAATACTTCTGTTGGGAAAAAACATTAGATTTGTTAGAGCTTTGAATAATTTTACATTTCATATACCTATGTATAAGTGGCAACACTACATCTGCTCTTTGTCGTAAGCAAAATTAGAAACGAATGATGTTGCCGTAATGTCGTGCTGTTGTCTAAAAAAAGGATATCCCACTAAATATTGTACTAATTTTAATTTTTACCATTGCCATATGTTTCAATTAAGGCTGTATGAATATGATTTTGCGTTTTTTAATGAATAACCACACAAATTGTACAGGGTTTTCCTTTTCGCCAAATTTTAGTATCTTATTTCATTTTAACATCACGTCATTATTTTAGGTAGACGCTATATATAATATATTAATTTCAACAACTTTAAAGCTATATTCCAACATGCTTTATTTGCTAGCGTGTCGCCAAAGCGGTTTACTGCAACACGATCTTTACCATTGTTTAAACGATCATCATAACTACACGATGCGCACGAAAAAAATTTTCATAATATTGCTTGGTCGTTTCGTTCTTTATTTAAAGAGCACAACTAGTGTGACAGCCTAAAAAAGGGATTTTTTCCGCATAGAGCAACCACAAGCGGGACAGGCATCTCTGATCCAAAAAAGTAATGACACAGGTAAGAGAGAAAAGTTCGGCAGGGATAGAAAGTCAGCAGAAATCCGTTGTCAACAGCACAGGTTTCGGGTGTCGAACTAATGCAGAAAAAACCGATGAGTTTGTCGCACATTTCCAAAACAGTTCTCTCACTCCTAACAAGTTTAGTGATGATTCCAGCATAGGAGAAATAAGAAAATTTTTAGATATTGCTTGTCATATGGAGCTACCAAACGCTGAAATAGACGCTGTAAAAGTACAGGAAGAGATTAAAATATTGACAAATAAATCACCAGGCTATGACAGAATTAATGCACTAACCTTTAAAGCGCTATTAAAAAACGTAATCGTAATGATTGTCAAGCTCTTTATTGCTATGCTCCGAATCTGCTATTTATTTTCTCAATGGAAATGTGCTGAGAGATATTTATGATTCTGAAGCAGTTTTGCTTCATAGAGCTCCATGGCATAATTGAGTAATACCACTGTATAGAAAACTGTATAACTGATGACAAGAGAAATTGTAATTACTGTTCTGTAGTCTGCCTTGATGTCCTCAAGCATTTGGCAAGGTCTGGTACCTAGGCTTATTATACAAGATAATGGAAAAACTACCCAAACCTCTGCTAAGGTCATAGTTGCATAATCGCACTTCTACGGCAGGTGTCGTAATGCTGTGTCGGATTTGAGGCTAATACGCGCTGGTGTACGTCGCAAAATATCTGGAACTTACAATTGATAAGAGACGTACATGGAGAATCCACATGAAAACTAAGAGAACCCAGCTCAGGCTAAGTTTTGCGCACGATTCCCCTTTGGTCTAAAGAACAAGCTACCCATACATAAGGCAATACGCAGACTGATCTGGTCGTATCGAAATCAAATCTAAGGCAGCTCAGCTGATTAAAGTTTTTAAGTTCTTAGCACTATATTGGGTGTATCTTTTAATGTTAAAAATTACGTCCTCCATCGAGACTAAAGAAGAATTTTGTAGTATTTACCTCTCTCGATTGGAGAATCATGATAACTTATTTCTGAGCCAAGTACTGGGTAAAAGTCAGCAATGTAGGGGACTAAAAAAAAAAGAGACTTCTTTAAAATTATTATTATTGTCCGAAAATGAAGTTATTGTCATTTTAATAATAAGACTGATTCTAAATAAAACTGAATGTTGTACAAAAACAAAATTTATATCAATGGAGCCAATATAATACATATGTATTTACTTTTGTGTATATATATCTACGTATGTATATATATACACTTTATGTACATATTACATATACATACATATATCAATAATGAATAAAGAAAAACTCATAATTAAATATAATTGAATTGTTAAAGGCATGAGTAAGCAATTTGATAAGCTTGATTGGGTGTATTTGAGATACACATTAATAACAACAATACGATTATGTGCATCTGTATATGTGTCTCATTTATAAGTCTATAGTAATGTAGTAAGGCTGCGAAAATAAAAATACTAAAAAAAAGTAAAAATTAAAAAAATGCATGCATTTTTAAAATTACAAACAGTGACAATTTTGCTATAAATTGCAAACTCTCAACTCCAATTGATATTAGTTTCATATCATTTGTGAATCTAGCAATTCAAAATACAACCACTCCAACAAAATGAAAGTATAAAATATTACTCTCAGCGTTGAAAATATATTTAATTCCTCTGTTTTACTTTGTAGTTTGTTAATTTTTTCATCTGCCTGGCTTTTCTCTTCGCCGTCGCTCAGGCTAACCCTGGCATCGTAGCTCCATTGACTTACTCGGCTGTGCCTAGAGTTGCCACCTACGCTGCCTCTCCATATCGGACTTTCTCAGCTTATGCAGCTCCTGTTGTAAGGGTATATAGTGCTCCAGTTGCACGAGTCGCTGACGTAGCTCCTGCTGTTCGAGTCGCCTATAGCGCCCCACTCGTTTCTACGTTTTTGAAATAGATTTGCTGTTTATGATATTTATTTTGTTACTGAAATTGCATTGTCCAAAGATCGGAGTTATGTTAATAAATTATATTGTTAAAGCATTTAAAATAGTTTTATACATGCATATGTGTGTACATTCAATGTTGGAGAACTAGCTCAAATTAATGTAATTATTAACTTTAATTACTTATTTTTTTGGAAAACTAATTAAAAACGATAAGCGTTATGTTGTTTCCCAAAAATAGTTTTGAAATTTGTAAATAATTCGTGTAACCTATTTTGGATGAAAACTGTATTATTTTCCACTGTCCCTAACCCTTTTCTGACGGAGTTGATTATCTTCAAAAAATACGGTTTAGTTGATATCACATCTGTTTAATTGAATTATAGTCTTGACTCTGCTTTCACTTTTTAGACCGTACGTTATAATCTGTGTTATGGTCTTCTATCTATCTTGCTCAATTAAAAGGGGAAACAAGGGTGTAAACGATCTTTAAAGAAAATGTTGCAACATTTCAATAATTTCAACGAAGACTTGCGAAAACTCGGGTACAAGTATGTATGTCGTACTCAAGTGGTTTGCACGATTTAAAAAGAGTTGTGAGGATTTCAATGACGTTCACAGGCCAGGTCGTCCAGAAGGTAGTTATCGTGCTAAATAAGTGAAAAACGTTATCGTAATCGGCTCGGAGTACTAAAACCATATTTTAACAATTTTAGAATATGAAATTATATTCGTATCCAAAGGGATAGAAAAACTGTGTATTTGTTGCCAAAATTTTATTGATACCTTGGGAGCTTTCATCTTTTTTTCAAAAACTTTCAATAAATTATTTTTTTATTTGTCGTTTATTGTCTACTACATAGGTCGATTTTATCCTTAAACTGTATATTTTTTTAGTATCAACAACTGTTATCTCCAACATAACAAATCCATCAATTCTTTTTTATTGGTCACCCGTAAGTTACATAAACAAGAAAAGCAAAATGGTGTTTTATAATTGAATATTATAAATTGAGATATTAAAATTATAACTTATGTTACCATATTTTTTAGCATTAAAACTTTTTATATTCTCGCAACCCTAAACTAATAAATTTAATGTGCATATCTCCTAAACCGCTAAAGCTAATATAACAAAATTCACTGAGAAAAATTTTTTTTAGCATCTCTATCGACGGTGTGAAAATGGGTGAAATGGGCGTGGCACCGCCCACTTTTAGGTGAAACCCCATATCTTGGGATCTGCTAAACCGATTTCAACCAAATTCAGTACATAACATTCTTCTCATATTTCTTTGTTATAGTGCGAAAATGGGCGAAATCGGATTACAACCACGCCTATTTCCCATATAACACCACTTCTTTCACTTTCCACAAACCAAAACTTTTCAAGCCCTAGATGTGTAAGATATATAATTGAAATTCATATAATAAAATAAATAAAACTCTCGATAATAATAGTATATCTTTGTGTCAAAAATTGGTTGAAGTAATTTCCCGGGTTTTGATCCAAGCAAGTTGCGAGAGTATAAAATGTTCGGTTACACCCGAACTTAGAACTTTCTTACTTGTTTACAATTTATTTTATAAACTTATTTAGGTGTAAATAAATAATTCCAAGAAATTCAGGGAATTAACTATCTTATGAATGTCATACTCATCGTGGGGTTAAGTGTTTTTTAACACTACATTTTTAAATATTTTTTCAAAAAATCTTGGCAAGATATTACAAATTTATATGTTTTTCTATACTTTCTTTATAATTTATTGCAACAATATCTTCTACAATGCACATTCGTCAACAAAACCGCAGCTGCTTACTTCTTCTTCAACAAAGTGGACACCAAGGGAGCGGAGTAGGTGACTGGAGCAACTGAGACAGCTGGAGCGCTGTAGACAGCAGGAGCGGCAACATGGGAGTAAGTGGTCACAGCTGGGGCGGAGTAAGCAGCGTGAGAGTAGGTGGCGACAGCAGGAGCGGCATAGGTAGAGTAAGCGGCGTAAGGAGCGGCGACATAAGGAGAGGCGCCATAGGAAGAGGCCGTATAGGGAGAGGCGGCGTAGGTGGCATAGGCGGGCACAGCAGCGGCGGAGTAGGTCAAAGGAGCCACCAAACCAGGATTGGCCTGAGCAACGGCGAAGAGGAGAGCCAAGCAGATGAGGAACTGTAAACAAATTAGGAAGGGAATTATAATTGCTTACACCACAAATTCAATTCTTTTGATATAATTTAGCAGACTTCTTATAGAGAATACTTACTTTCATTATGTGTGAGTTTGTGGTTAACTGACTGCCGTGAATTAACTGATATTAATTACGATTTTGCGACCATATTTTATAGCAAAATTTTATCACGCCAGAACCTGCCTTTTGTTGGTATGGATTCTATTCGGATAGAATGATAAATAGATGCCCATGCCTACAATATTTCGAAGCCATATGCTCTGAAGTACACATTTTTATCATACATTCATATATACATACGTATGTGAAGGTACTTGTGTGCTTGCTTAAGGCATAGTACATTTATGTCCATGTATGTGTGTAGCTTGTAGGAATTTGACAAAAGCATACCGGTTTCAATTGTTGCCAAATTTCTCAATACATTAATATAAAAGTTCAAGTATATCTCTTCAAATACATATCAATCAAGAAAACAATTAATGACGTCAACATATTTCACTGTACTTTATGCATAATTCGTCCAGTTTGTACGGCAACTATTTGGTATAGCGGTCGGCCGTCCGACAAATGAGCAGCTATTTAGGGAGAAAAGTATGTGAGGAAAATTTCAGATCGATATCTCAAAAGTATTTAAATTATTTAAGAAGCTTTCAGTTTGATTAATATTCATGGTTTTTCCATTTTGATACCCACTTGTGTCCAATTTCAGTTTCTTAAAATAATGGTAGCTTTAGTTCTTAATATAAAAACCCTTAACCTTAAGAAAAACTGATTTTATTCAACTCATAGTGTTCCCCCATTTTCCTTCATGTGGGTTGTGGGCTTTTTCATAATTAATATTTTCGTAGAAAAGTTTTTTTGAACGAAATAAGATAAGATACCACCAAAAAAAATATTGATAGGTAAACCAGGACAAGTATGGAAGTCTATCTCGATTAGATTTAGGTGATACAAACAACCGTTAGGTGAACAAAACTATTATACTCGGTAGCAACATGCTGCGAGAGTATAATTAACAAAAATTTGTTTAAAGTATTTTACTCTCATAAAGGTTAATATTATTATATAAAGCTCTTTCATTATGAAAATAGTAAACATTATTGAAAATTTAAAAAAGTTGTCGACATACTGAAAATGTTTCACTTCTTCTATTTACCATTCATAATTCAAAATCATGAGTAAACAAGTAATAAGTAACCACAAGAAGCTGACATAATCGAGTTCATTAGGTTTAATTGTGGAAAATCGAGTACACACACTTACACCTATTATACGCACTTACAGATACCACAATTTAAAAAATGTTTAGGCTAAGCCATAAGTGACAGTTGAACTTCTCGAGCCGCAAACGAAATCTATTTCCTTACAGTTCTCAACAGCAAAAATTTTTGTTATAAATTGATCATTCTAAGCTTTGAATATCATTAGTTCAGTATCAGCTGTAAACAAAGTACAAACAAACTACAACAAAATGAAAGTAAGTAATTAACACTCCTTACTAAAAAATTTATAAATATTAATATTTTTCTTCACTTCTTCCAGTTCCTTATTTGCTTGGCTCTCCTCTTCGCCGTCGCCCAGGCTAATCCCGGTATCGTGGCACCTTTCACCTACTCGGCTGTGCCCACAGTAGCCACCTATGCTGCATCGCCATATGCCTACAGCGCTTATGCCGCACCTGCCGTTTCCACCTACTCACACGCTGCCTACTCCGCCCCAGCTGTGGCCACTTACTCGCAAGTTGCTGCTCCTGCTGTGTACAGTGCACCATTCGCCCGCTTTGCCGCAGTCGCTCCTGTTGCCTACTCTGCTCCAGTCATCTCCACACTCCTGAAGAAATAGAAAGAAAGTTTTTATGAATAATGCATTTAGTTGATGGACCTGTGAATAAATATTGAATAAGCTGTAAATTTATATGAGAGTGCACTTTTATTATCTGCGTGACCAAAAATACATGTAGTTATACCTCGATCTCTTAGTTTTTTAGACTACATCTTAATGCAAAAGAAAGCATTTATATATATATTATATGACCCTGTTGTAAGTAGCTATGACTTCAAAACACTGAGTCATCTCATTTTATTTCATTTTGTATATATTACTGAATACTAACAACCCCTATTTTGATTTAAGTGGGAATTTCAAAATCAGGAAACAGCTCAAGAGTAGTTGCCTATATTACTTGGCAAATGTTGGAGTTTAAATTCATTGAATATTGTTTCTAATTGAATAATTTACCAACACTTATGATTTTTATACTCTTGGAACAGAGTATAATTCGAGTAGTCTTGTTCACCTAACGGTTGTTTGTATCACCTAAAAATAATCGAGTAAATTAAAGGGTTATATATATATAAATGATTAGGATAAAGAGACGAGTTGAATTTCGAATGACTGTATGTCTGTCCGTCCTTCCGTCCGTCTGTGCAAGCAGTAATTTGAGTAAAAATTGAGATATCTTGATGAAACTTGGTAAACATGTTCCTCGGCAAAAAATTGAGAACGTGTTCGTAGATGAGCGTAATCGTAGCAGTCTGATGTGCTTATAAAACGCTATTAATCGAAAACCTACTGATAGCGCAACTAAGCCGTTTATTAAGATACAGAACTGAAATTGAGCAAACCTAATCACATTAATTAGGGGCATCTGCGGTTTGAAATTATTTAAAAGTGGGCATGGCCCCACACTCTAACAAGTTTAATGTATATATGTAGCAAACCAATATAGTTATATCATCCAAATTTGCAAAGGTCACATGTTTCGAACATCTCTTACGATAGTCTGAAAATAGGTGAAATCAGATGATAACTCCGCTCACTCCCCTTATAACGTATTTTTTTTTTAACTGCTAATAGTGCGATAAATCAATAACTAAATACGTCAGAGACATTAAATTTTATAAACAGGATGCCAAAAGAAAGCTTAATAGGATCCGAGGTCAAACTTAATTCAATATATAACATTTCTAACATTTCTATGTTACAGTGCGACAATGGGCGAAATCGAACTATAACCACGGCTTCTTTACATATAACAACATTTTTTAATTCCATCTGATTCTTTCACTTTCCAGTATGCAAATCAAACACCAATCAATGGATCGGAACAAAACTTTGCACGAATCATGTCCTCAAAGTATGCCACCTTGTGACCACAAATTGTCCAAATCTAACTAAAACTGCTCAATCCACTAAGTACCGGACTCCAGCCTATATCGAAAATATGGGCCAATGTGTAAGATTTGTAATTTAAATTCTGAAAGGATCCTTTCCTTATAATGTATGTGTGTCAAAAATGTTTTGTACTTCCCTTAGCCCCTACCTAACGGAAATATTTTCGAACTTCCGGCTGATTTTAAGCCACATACAAGGTATATTCCAAAGTAAACAGAACCTTAAAAAAAAGACAAAACAAATGGTTTTATCAGCAAAATCAATTAATTTTATTCAAAATAGTCTCCTTCTGCTTTAATACAGCTTTTTGTCTTTTTGCACGGTCCAAAAGCATGTCGAACGAATGATTTAGCTCGTTGCCCGGTATGGCCGCCAGTATGCCGGTACAAGCCTTTTGAATGGCCTCCACGTCTGCATAACGCTTTCCTTTCATCGGCAAATACATTTTTCCGAAAAGGTAGAAGTCGCACGGTGCCATATCAGGTGAATACGGAAGTGGTTGATTGTTAAAATGTGATTTTTGGTCAAATAATCGGCCACAAACGTCGATCGATGAGACGGCACATCATCGTGCAACTAACGCCAACTTCCATCTTCGCGATATTCGGGCCGAACACGTCGAATACGGCGCACCAAACGCTTCAATACTCCAAGGTTGAATATTGAATTCTGAGCAATTTTTGGTCGTCAGTCAATCACCGCACCGATTCGCACCGATGACAAAAACATACTGACACTTAAAACGCAATAACTTCACTTCCAATAGATGAAATTTCATGAAATTTTTACTAGAAGTCGGTAAAGGATAGTAGATTTCAAAGCACTAGTCGACATATAGATGGCGCCACTAAAGTTTACTTTGTTACTTTTTTACTGTTTACTTTGGGACGCACCTTGTAAATTGGTCAATATGTAAGTTATTTTAATGAATTTGACAGATTTAATATCACATACATATATCTGATTTTAGTCAAGAAGATACCAAACTACAGTACCAAAATACAGCACCTGAAGGCATTTGATTCTTGCAAGTAGCAGTAGTGTAAAATGTTCGGTAACACCCAAACTTAGCCTTTCTTTAGTTGTTTTAGTAATATTTACTTTCGCACTTTGTTGTTGTCCAACACTTGTTATAAATTAAACGGGTTCGTTTTTTTAGACGTGTAGTTCTCAATGAGGCAATACTTTTATCGAAGTTGGTCTTTTTGACAGCTGTTACTTGATTTATACTCCGTTTAGTTTGTACTTTCATAATAAAAACACTTACTCTGGAACAACGTTTGCAAATCGGTGAATGACGAAATGGCCACCGAACCCGATCTTCACAAAGAAATTTTTTTTCAGCGACGCAGCGCACTTTTTGTTACAAGGGTATGTTAATAAACAAAATTGTCGCCATCAGCCATTATTGAGACGCGGTTACATCCCCAAGAAAGCCACTGTTTGGTATGCTCTGTGGGCTATAGAGCTGTAATTAATTAATGGCTTTTTCGTGCCGGATAATTGATATTTAGTAAATATATTTTAAGTTTCTTCAAAAAAAATAATTAATTTGAAAAACTGAGTCAACGCACAGATATTTAATAATTTCACGATGGACGTTAAATTCCAAAAAATAATATACCTATTTAAGTTAACATCATTGTTTTCCATATCTTTAAAATTTGAGCAATGTAGTCAAATACTTTGAAAACGCAACTAATTATAATACACTAGCAATATGGGTGCTAAAACCCAACAGAGAGGCTCTTAAAAAATCAAAAGCGAAATAAAATGAGCTTCTTCATGAATATATATAGACCTTTACCTATAAATATAGTAACGGCGAAACCTAGACGAACCCCAAATAGAAATTCCTAATACATCCCTATGCACAAAGTTGTAATAAACATCTATAACAGATAATAATGCAAATACACTTTCATATAAATTTCCAACTTATTCAATATTTATTTACAGGTCCATCAACTAAATGCATTATTTATAAAAAAATTTTTCTATTTCTTCAGGAGTGTGGAGATGACTGGAGCAGAGTAGGCAACAGGAGCGACTGCGGCAAAACGGGCGAATGGTGCACTGTACACAGCAGGAGCAGCAACTTGCGAGTAAGTGGCCACAGCTGGGGCGGAGTAGGCAGCGTGTGAGTAGGTGGAAACGGCAGGTGCGGCATAAGCGCTGTAGGCATATGGGGATGCAGCATAGGTGGCTACTGTGGGCACAGCCGAGTAGGTGAAAGGTGCCACGATACCGGGATTAGCCTGGGCGACGGCGAAGAGGAGAGCCAAGCAAATAAGGAACTGGAAGAAGTGAAGAAAAATATTAATATTTATAAATTTTTTAGTAAGGAGTGTTAATTACTTACTTTCATTTTGTTGTAGTTTGTTTGTACTTTGTTTACAGCTGATACTGAACTAATGACATTCAAAGCTTAGAATGATCAATTTATAACAAAAATTTTCGCTGCTGAAAATTGTAAGGAAATAGATTTCGTTTGTGGTACAAGAAGTTTAATTGTCACTTATGGCTTAGCCTAAACATTTTTTAAAGTATGGTATCTGTGTGTGTGTTTATTTACTTGTTTTTCTTTACTCAAATATATATAATAATTGCTTGCTCCCTCATGGTTTTAAATTGTTTTTGGTAAATAGAATAACTAATAATAACATTTTACTTTTAAACCTCTTTCGGTTTTTTCACTATCGTTATGAAATATAAGTGCGCCTTATTATCAAATACACTCATATTGCAATAATTTTTCCTTTAACTTGCTGTTATTTTGAAGATAATGTTTTAACAACATTATTTTCTGATATATGGGAACATTTTTTATCTAGGATTGAACAAATGGGAAAATATAATAGTTTGAATAAAGTAGTGGAATATTATTGTTACGATTTTGGAATACATTTTTGGTAAGGATACAAAAACTATTAAAATTTCCGATATAAAATGTGAATGAATTAATGATGTAATCCTTTAAGAATTTTTTTAAAAGCGTTGAAAATGTATATGCATTGAAAGTTTAAAAAATTGACACGCGCCTATCAGATATTTATATTTATTAGTTCTAATTATATATTACTATTGACTTCCGAGGACAACTATTTAAATAATTCGAATTTTGCTTTCCCCGGGCGCCAAGAGTAAGGGGGGTTAAACTCGAAAACCCTCGTGTATTCGCCACTATTATTCCACCTTCTGTCAAATACTTCAAACATACTTTTCTCCTATACTCGAAATCATTTCGTATTTTGAATGGATGTCTTGTAAACAAATAAGCTTGTGAAGTTTTCAAGGTTAAAGATCATGAAAAATTTATTGCCCTACAAAATATCTCCAATTTGATTTTCAGCTCTTAAGGTATGTGGTTGATACGGTTGCTACTAATATGCAATTTCTTGGTATTTCCCACCTAGTTACAAAACTACGAAATGTTTAGATAAAATTATTAAAAATATGAGCAAGAGTATACGTTAAATCAGCAAAAGCGATGAACGTAAGAGAAAAATAGTGCACATTAAATAGAGAGAAAAATTGAGATATAGCAAAACTGAGAAAGAAAGAAATATATGGTATTACCACACTACTAACCGAAATAGATATAGGGTTAAAACATATAGAAATATAACAAGTAAGGAAGGGCTAAGTTCGGATGTATCCGATCATTTTATACTCTCGCAAAGTCAAATGGTATACTCGTTTGAGATTTCTTTGTGGATTGACTGATATTTTCAGTAGAAGGTCAACTATAGGCACTGGGGTCCACATATTTAGTACTTAGGGGCTTGAACAGTTTTGGTTCGATTTAGAAAATTTTTGGTCACAAAGTGGCATACTTTAATCGCATTATTCACGCGAAGTTTTATCCCGATACAATCATTGTTGCTTGATTTGCATACTGAAAAGTGAAAGAATCAGATGGAATTTAAATGGTGTTATATGGGAAGTAGGCGTGGTTGTAGTCCGATTTCGCACTATAACATAGACATATGAAAAGAACGTTATGCACAGAATTTGGTTGAAATCGGTTAAGCAGATTTCAAGATATGTGTTTTCACCTAAAAGTAGGCGGTGCCACGCCCACTGTGTAATATTGAATGCGGTTTCTATAAAGTCATCTCATACCATCCCTGAGACAAAATTTAATGTCTCTGGCGTGTTTAGTACTTGATTTATCGCACTTTTAGTAGTTTTTAACAGTACCGTTATATGGGAGTGGGCGGAGTTGGCACCCGATTTCAACTATTTTCACACGGTAGGTAGTTCTAAAAACATTTGCTTCCAATTAATTTTGTTATTATAGCATTAGCGGTTCAGGAGATATGCACATTAAACATATTAGGGGCGGGACCACGCCCACTTAAAAAAAATTTTAACTGCAGATGCCCCTCTCTAATGTGATCCTGTGTAGATACGTCAGGGAATAAAACTTTGCACAAACAGTGTCTTTAAGGTATGCCATATCGAATCCTAAAAATTGTAAAAATCGGACCATAACTGTTTAAGCCCAGATACCGAAGATGTGGACCGCAGAGAATATTTTCTTCATAATAGTATGACTTTGTGTCAAAAGTTTGTTTACTCGAGTCATTACTTCCCATGGCGCCCATATAACTAATAGGAGAATTTGCGAATTTTCGGCTGACTTTATACTGCATATATCGGCCAATATGTGAGTTATCGAGTACACTAGATTTGTTCACCTAACGGTTGTTTGCATCACCGAAAGCCAATCGAGGTAGATACGGTTGAGATTGCAGATGGGCGTAATCGTACCACTGGACCACTGCCTCGCCCAAAAAACGAAAACCCATACAGTCTTATAACTAAGCACTAAATCAATATATAAAATTATTATTTGGTACAGGGGATCGCTTAACCCCGCCCTCTAAATGGATAAATGTACATATCTTCTAAACCACTGAAGCTAACTCAACAAAACTTACTAAGAAGAAGTGTTTTCAGCTATGAAAAAGGGTAAATCAGATAATAACCACGCCCACTCTCCATATAATGGTTATGTTAAAAATTAATGAAGTGAGATAACTCACTGAATATCTGAATATAAGAGTTACAATTAAATTTCAATACCAGTATGGCACGGATGGGTTTATTGGAAACTAGTTCAAAAATGGGACAATAAGCGTGGCACCGCTCATTTCTAGGTGAAATCATATATCTCAGGAGCTACTAGACCATTTTCGACAAAATTTGGCGTTAGAATACAATTTTGCGAGAACACTTTTTGTGCAAAGTTTTACTCTTCTCACATACCATCATCAATATTTAGAGAGTAAAGTCAACCGAATATTTGAAAATCCTAATATTAGTTATATGAAGTCTACAATAAGTTTTCGCCCGATATTATCCATTTTAGGCATTATTTCTTTATAATAGGTATATGTTGGCTAAGGGAAATATTAACCCGATTCAACCCAGTTTTGACATTTAGACATACAATTATCAAGAGAGGATTGTCGAATGTCAATTTTATATCTCACATATTGACCGATATTTTCGGTTAGGTAGATAGGTCAGATATAAGCACTGGGGTCCACATCTTCAAAGTCTGGGGCTTGAACAGTATTTCGCCCATTTTCGCATAATGACATGGGAACATCAAGATAATATTTCCTACCGAAATGGTTTGAATTTGGTTGAGTAGATTTGGACATATGGTGGGCCCAAACGCTGGGCGATCCAATTTTTAAACCGACTACTATAGAACCGTTTCCTATCATCTTGAATGTAAAAATATGTGTCGCTGACGTATTTAGTTATTGATTTAAGCACTTTTAGAAGTTTTTAACAAAACTGTCATATACAATAAACCTACTAGGGATTGGGGCCCTGCCTAAGTTTTGACCCAGAAGTGCAATTCGTTAATGCACTTCGTTGTACCAAATTGGAGCTTTGTATCTTAATTTGCGCCTAAGTTATGGCAGTTGATAGGTTTTCCATTATTTGCATTACTAACCTTGTATATCTATACTAAATTTCATTAAGATATCTTCATTTCTACTCAAGTTATCGCTTACACGGACGGACAGACGGACGGATGGACAGACAGTCAACTCTATATCTTACTAGATTAGTTTTAGGTGATACAAATTACCGGTATGTGAATGAAACTATAATATTATACCCTGTAGCAACATGTTGCAAAAGCATAAAAATTAACTCACGCGACCGATTTCAGTTTTTAGAACTTATTTTAAAATGCCACATTTTAAATATGTTTTATTTGAATGTGATTATCAGTTTTTTCGTTATTACAATATCAACATATAATAAAGTACAAAATTAGCTTTTACCCTTGAATTATTCACTGCAGTTTAACTGAGTTTTCAATTAATAGCTTTTTGTGCTTGAAGCCAGTTATCAATTAAATCGCATTAATTTGTTTATACCACAACAACAACAGCATCAATATTAAAAAGTCAATTACCTGATTATTTACTTGCTACACACAAGATTCATAAACAATTTATTGACTATCAAAGAAACATGCACATACATATATACAAGTGTAATACAACCATGTGTGCAATGCGGCTACGCAAACATTACCCGCTTTATGCTTGTCACTTGATAGGCGTACTCGTATCACCAGCGCTCTAGGCACACAACAAAAAACTTTTGTAAGTTCGTGCATGTATGTGTGTATGGTATATGTGATCGTAAGCACATACGCATGCGCATTGTTTAGCCCTAATCGAGAGCATGTCGGAAAGTTTAAGCATTTGATACGTTCGAGGGATTATCAGACCGGTTTTGTTCTTGTGTGGGAGACAAAACATTGCCAAAAAGATATTTTCTAGAAGAATTTTCAACTGTTTGAAATTACAAACGGCACGACACATCCGCGTTCACTATCCGGATCACTTGCACGAGCACACATATGTAGATAGAAGTCAAATCCGCGAAACATGTAGGGAAATATCTAAGCTCTTACGATTTAATCACAAACAACCAATTTAAGTAATACAAAACAACAGCAATAATAGCAATGGGTCGCGTTGCAAAGTAGGTGTGACGCTGATTAGCGCGAGTGATAGAAATTGACAAATAACGAGTGATCAAGTACTGGTGAGCAAATGTCTTTTTCTGTGGAAATCTTCATACAAACAAATAGTTGAATATTCATAATATTGTCCTCTTTTGTTTTTTGCTTTGCGTTGAAGAACAGAATTATTGTAAATTTTCGTATAAATAATTGTCCCTGAGTGACAGTTGATATCAGTTAACTCATCGAAGTCGATTAACCACAAACTATAACAAAATGAAAGTAAGTGCAGCAAAGCTATTCTTATTTCATTTCAAATTCATAATATCAATTTATTTTTTACAGTTCCTCATCTGCTTGGCTCTCCTCTTCGCCTTCGCTCAAGCCAATCCTGGTTTGGTGGCTCCTTTGACCTACTCCGCCGCTGCTGTGCCCGCCTATGCCACCTACGCTGCATCTCCCTATGCCGCCTCTTCATATGTCGCTTCTCCCTATGCCGCCGCTCCTTATGCCGCTTACTCCACCTATGCCGCTCCTGCCGTCGCCACCTACTCTCACGCCGCTTACTCCGCCCCAGCAGTGGCCACTTACTCCCATGTTGCTGCTCCTGCTGTCTACAGCGCTCCTGTTGCACGTGGCGCTGCGGTAGCTCCAGTTGCTCCAGTCACCTACTCCGCTCCCTTGGTGTCCACTTTGTTGAAGAAGAAATAGACTGTTGACAAAAAAGTTAATAAATGGCATATAAATAAATCCAAATTAAATCTTTTATTTATTACAAAAACAAAATATCTTCATAGGTATGCCAAATTTAAATCATAAAATGTTTGGCTATTTTGTTGAATCGCTCTCTCTCTCTCTCCAAATAAAGGTCTAATGTCGTGTACAATTACCTACAGGGATACGATTGCTATAATAATCAAATTGTTTACTGATCTTGAATCTGTAACTAATTTCTAAATATCCATATAATATACGTATAGCGATATTAAAAGATTCATATCTTACATATATGTATATGGTATGTGGTGCTCTATCAGCTTTAAAGTACGCAACATGGACGTCTATTGCAAGTACATACCAATTTTGGACCGGATCCACTAGATCCTTCCCGGTCAATTTAAGAAAACCCAAGTTTTTCAACTGTTTCATTCATTTTCAGGAATTAGGAATTCAACAGCTTGAAAGTATTAAATTATCGATATCGTATTCTTTTCAGTGCGTGTTAGGACGTAATGCTGCAGTTTTCCGATTTGGAGCCCAAAAACCGAGATTTGTATTTGTTTTTCGAATTCCGTGCTTTAAATCGCAAAGCTACTGCAGCACGTCATCAACATTAACTAACACGAATGCGGTAATAGACATTGCATACTTTCAAGCAAGTATTCCTATATGAATCCTATGAAACAGGTGAAAATTTAAGGGTTTCTTAAACTGAATCGGAAGAAACGAGTGGATCCGATCAAAAAGCGGAGGGTACGTGCAGTAAGCGTCTCTCTTTCGATAGATCACTTCTTGATGTTATTCAATGAAAACCGGCGACAACACCCCTACTAGTTGTTCTGCCCTGATTTCCTATAAAACTGGTTAGAAAATAGGCCTTTCCTAAATTGGACGTAGATCAAGTCAAAAATTGTGCAGTTCTTATAAATAATTTAAAGTGAACAATATTTAGTGAATGTTTCGGAGATGGCAGAGTAGGTCGTGATTTGGTTTGGAAGATATTTTTAAAAATGAACTCATTTGGTTAAGTTTTCTTTGTTTTTTTGTTTAAGTCAATAAGTTTAGAAGTGTTTTTATAAGAAATAGAAAAATTCTAGTAGATTCTATAGAACACAACGCAATTGGGCAATACTGATAATCTTAAATGTGGAAGTGGTTGCTTCAGACAGAAGACTAATAAAAAATTATCATATTTTAGGCCCTTAGTCATTACACCGTTGAATAGTTACAGCAAATACTTTTATATTCACTTGAGACCACATTTCATTTTTATACTCTCGCAACATGTTACACAGAGTATAATAGTTTTATTCATCTAACGGTTGTTTGTGTCTCCTAAAAATAACCGAGTTATATATAGGACTATTTATATATGCATATAAATTATGGGGATAACGAGACGAGTTGAATTCCGAGTGACTGTCTGTCTGTCCTTCTGTTCGTACCCATTTATCTGTCCGTCCATGCAAGCAATAATTTGAGTAAAAATTTATATATCTGGATGAAACTTGGCATCCAAGGGAGGTTGGTATTGTAGATGGGTGGTATCGAACCATTGCCAGCCGATAAAACACAAAGGCATACAATTTACAACCGAAATGGGACGAACGGGCTGAATATGGGCCAGTGCTAAAATAAGACAATGGGTGTGACACCGCCCTCATTTAGGTGAATACCCATATCTCGGGACCTACTCGAACGATTTCCGCTAAATTTGTAAGATAACATTATTCTGATATTCCTATGTTACAATGCATAAATAGACGAAATCAAACAAAAACCAGTCCTACTTCCTATATAAGACAATTTTAAATTCCATCTGATCCTTTCACTTACCAGTATACAAATCAAGTAACAGTCAATACATACGGATAAAACATTTCACGAATACTTAGTACCCTTGAGGTGTGCCACCTTATGTCGAAATGGGACCAAAACTATTCAAGCCCCCAAATACCGAATATGTGGACCCCAGTTTCTTTGGCGAAATTTTTACTGAAAATATCGGTCAACCTGTCTGATTATTAAACTTGGAAAAGAATTATCCCCGGCTTCGATCCTTGCAAGTTGCAAAAGTATAAAATTTTCGGTTACAACAGAACTTAGCACTTCCTTACTTGTTTAATACATAGTATTGGCAACACCTGAAATGATTTTCCTGGCTTTGATCCTTGCAAGTTTAAGTGTTCGGTTTTTCCCGAACTTAACGTTTCCTTACTTGTTCAGACTTTAATTTAAGTTCTTATACCCCATTAACGAGTATTTTATAAAGGAAATACTTCATTGTATATTAGAAAATAAATCGAGGGAGTATATTAGCTATATTAAGTTGTCATCGTCACTCAGCCAGTACGAGAGCGATTATTAGAAATACCTATGACTGTGCTATGTAGTAAACAGGAATTTGCTGTTAAGTACTGCGAATAATATCTTTAAGACTAAGCTAGACTGTTTGAAAGACGGCAATGCTATTTGGGTCAGACTTGAATAAACAATAGAAAAGCTATTACCCAAAATAAATCTAAAATTAGTTTGGGATTTTTCAATATTGTTACAATATATTTCCGTATAGCTTAGGATAAGGTTAATAATTTTTACTTAACTACCCAATTAAAAATGGAAACAAAAGAGCAGCGTTAGCATTTCGGATTATCTATTAATTCTCTTCTAACAATTTTTGTCAATGTTTTTAAGATTTGCTGAATCACCCTACGCAATCAATTCAAGAATTTCTCTTTGATCAAATTCGATCATAATCATATACATATAATGTGCTCGTATATGCGGGTCATTGTGGGTGCTTGCGGCTATGCACATACAAACCAACAAATGAGAAAATTTACTTAGAAGTAAATAAAAGAGTATGAATTACAATGTGTAGGCGGCGGATTTTTGTATATACTTGAATGTACGCAATTTCATTTGTACATATATGTATCACAGAAATATGATTTGTTGATTTAGAAAAATTTTGCTATAAATTATGCGCGCAGAATCGTAATTGACATCAGTTAACTCGCAGCAGCCAATTAACAACAAACTTTGACAAAATGAAAGTAAGTCAATCAAAAAGCGTGTCTACCTAAAATATCTCCCTGACATCATATTATTAATTATAAGAATATAGTTATAAATTATCTAAATGCAAATAATTACAAAAACTGTTTCTCTTTACTTACAGTTCCTCATCTGTTTCGCACTCCTCTTCGTCGTCGCTCAAGCCAATCCTGGTTTGGTGGCTCCTTTGACCTACTCCGCCGCTGCTGTGCCCGCCTATGCCACCTACGCCGCCTCTCCCTACGCCGCAGCTCCTTATGCCGCCGCTCCTTATGCCGCCTACTCTACCTATGCCGCTCCTGCCGTTGCCACCTACTCTCACTCCGCTTACTCCGCCCCAGCAGTGGCCACATACTCCCATGTTGCTGCTCCTGCTGTCTACAGCGCTCCTGTTGCACGTGTCGCTGCGGTAGCTCCAGTCACCTACTCCGCTCCCTTGGTGTCCACTTTGTTGAAAAAGAAGTAAAAATGCTGATTATTTAATAAACGTGAATAGAATGGAATGAAATGTTGAACGACCGAATAAAAATTTAAATGCAATATAAGCTCGTTCTTGTTTACTTTGCAAATTTCAGTTAAAGGCCTCAGACAGTGCTTTGCATAAAAATTCGTTTTGACCAAGCAAAATTAGGACTTAATGCCATCTAAAAAGATGGTTCATCGTACATTCCTTATTTCACACCCAATATGGTATGTTGCCTTTGTGCTCCCGATTCGATACTAGGAGAAACTTTTCTTACTTCGAAGTTGTCTTAAATGCTCCAAAAACTTTTACAGATGTGTCAAATAACATTTAATGATGTCATAAACTCCATCAGTGGAGCTGTTTTGGATAGAGTTAGAGAGAAAAAAAGTGAAACAGAACTAAACTGGTCATCTAGCTAGAATCTAGCTGACGTTTTCGAATTAAACCATCCTTTTTTTAATTAATCATTGGATATCTGCAATTATCGATAGAGTTTTGAAAACATTTTGTATTGTGAACCTCTTTCCACTTGTCAGCTTACATATCATACCGAGGCGAAAAGATGAATACCTACTGAAACACGATTATTATTTGCGGAGCACTACAGAAGACAGTATACTTGAAAACTCAGATAACAACCGTAAGTTGAAAGGAAGTGTGTACAAAGTATTTAGCGGTATTGCTCAAATTTTTGACAGAAATCGTAAAATGAAACATAAGCCCCTATTATGGTTTTCAACTCAACTGAGCTAGATCACGTCAAGTGGACCCCCTATTATGCTCGTCAATAATCATTAAGTCAATGTATATTTTTTATGAATACTTGAAATGAAAAATATACACCCCAAACGATTTGTAAAAATTTAGATTTTACATTAATATAATTTTTTTGATAAAACAGTTATGTACAATACTTTTAACTAAAACATAGTTTTTAAGTTAACCGTTTAAGATAATTTACAGGATTCATCGTTCAGTATTTATTTTTTTAACAAAATATTAATATCTAAAGAAAATTTTTTTATCATACTGTTAACTGAACACAATGAGCCTCTTATAGGCCTAGGTGCGTCGTTAGACAACCACTCTACCTACCTACCTACTGTTAATTAACTTTTAAGTTAACAACTGAAAAAAAAAAAATTTTAAGTTTCTGTTTATCAGTTGCATATGTTATTTAATTAAGTTTAAAATTCCAGATGGAAAATTCATTGCTCACAAATATTTGAAAATATATTAAATTATTTCTCACAGCGAAAGGGGTCCACTTGACGCGATCTTGCTCAACTGTGTTTTGGTTGAAGGTTTGAAATTATTGATATCACTCAACTTGCCAAAAAAGGTTGAAAGTGAAGTGTTGTCAAACCTCAACTTTTTTGTGGTATTACTATTTTCATCTTTGCGCGAGTGGATGTGACTAGAATATCAAAAAATTACAACTGCTACCAAAGAGCTTTAGTTGAATATTCCTGCGTTTATTTAGGAAACATATTTATTGAAAATGGAAAACTGATAAACTGATCAAATATTTTTTATATACTTTAAACTATTGTAGTATCTGATTAAACAAATAAACATTCAACAAATATATATAAAACAAGTAAGGAAGGGCTAAGTTCGGATGTAACCGAACATTTTATACTCTCGCAAAGTCAAATGGTATACTCGTTTGAGATTTTTTTGTGGATTGACTGATATTTTCGGTAGAAGGTCAACTATAGGCACTGGGGTCCACATATTTAGTACTTAGGGGTTTGAACAGTTTTGATTCGTTTGAGACAAACATTGTTACCTGATTTGCATAGTGGAAAGTGAAAGAATCAGATGGAATTGAAAATGGTGTTATATGGGAAGTAGGAGTGGTTGTAGTCCGATTTCGCCCATTTTCGCACTATGACATAGAAACATGAAAAGAACGTTACGCACCTGGTTGAAATCGGTTAAGCAGATCTCAAGATATGGGTTTTCACCTAAAAGTGGGCTATGCCACGCCCACTGACTAATTTTGAACGCGGTTCCCATAAAGCCAATTTATACCATCCCAGAGATAAAATTTAATGTCTCTGGCGTGTTTAGTGCTTGATTTATCGCGCTTTTAGTAGTTTTTAACAGTACCGTTATATGGGGAGTGGGCGGAGTTGCCACCCGATTTCAACTATTTTCACACCGTCAATAGAAGTGCTAAAAACATTTGCTTCTAGTGAATTTTGTTATTATAGCATTAGCGGTTTAGGAGATATGAACATTAAACCTATTAGAGGCGGGACCACGCCCACTTTTTAAAAAAAAGTTTTAACAGCAGATGCCCCTCCCTAATGTGATCCTGTGTACCAAAGAACAGTCTTGTATCTTATTGCGGAGCTTAGTTATGGCAAGTTATTTGTTTTTGATTAATGGCGTTTTGTGGGCGTGGCAGTGGTCCGATTACGCCCATCTGCAATACCAACCGTCTCACGGTACCAAGAAACATGTCTACCAAGTTTCATAAAGATATCTCAATTTTTACTCAAGTTAGAGCTTGCACGGACGGACGGACGGACGGACGGACAGACAGTCACCCGGATTTCAACTCGTCTCTTCATCCTGATCATTTATATATATATAACCCTATATCTAACTCGATTAGTTTTAGGTGATACAAACAACCGTTAGGTGAACAAAACTATTATACTCTGTAGCAACAGGTTGCGAGAGTATAAAAATTAAAAAACTTGTTGAGATCGTGGAGTAAAATTCCAAAACTGTAAGTGTTTCGAACATAAAAAGCCGAGACAATCTATTACTCTTAAGAATATACTATGCGAGTAAAATTTGAAGCGTTTTGCTCCTTTTTAGTCATTTGTATTTTATCCACCACGCACAAGTATGGTGTTCATAATATTTAAAACCTCCTTGACAACCATAGATATCGTACGTTGCGCCAGCCCAAAGTTAAAATTATTTAACTGAAAATTTGATAACTACCATCAGCAAGGAAGCGGAGAGTTTGTGGTAATTTTTCTTCATCTAATAGGTATATGTAGTAAAAAAGCAACATGTTTTCTTGTCGATCCTAAGACAGCTTAAACGCCGGTCCGTTGTGGTACCCAAAACTCCTATGAGCCGGATCAATAGACCCTCACACGTCGACAAAGCGCTTTGTGCCTATGACAAACTTGTTGAGACGGCCAATATCTGTTTCGGCCAAATCTTCTGGTCCGCCAAAAGTATGATTTCCGAGATGTTTCAATCTCAACCTAGCAAAAGCCGGACAGTGGAGGAGAAAGTGCAGGGATGTTTCCACTTCACCTCCATACAGCTTTGACAACTACCATCGAGTAGTATTCTAAGCCGCACCGCATGAGTTCCCATTGGACAGTGCCCAGTGAGAACTCCTACCATGGCGGCGAGGTGAACTTTGTTCAAGGTGAGAAGATCCCCCCACCTCCTGCGATGCACTCTCGGCCACAAGGATCGCGCAATCGCGCAGGAGCTGGTCGTCGACCAGCGTCTGCTGAGCGCATGCGAGATCCAATGGTCCAGAGCCTGAATACAAGACGTAAGTGGAGGACCAACTCGATTCCATTCCGATGTGAGCGGGGCCAGGGGCAACTTATCGGCCTTGCAATTCCCAGCGATTCCGCTGTGATTGGGCACCCAAACGAGCCTGATATTAAAATAGTCTGATGCTAATTCTAGTGAGGACAGACACTCCTTGACTAGCTTTGAATGCACGGTTCGCGCACTCAGGGCTTGTATTGCCGCTCTGCTGTCGGAGTGATTGCTCAACTCTTTAAACGAAGCTGCACTTCGTAACAGTACTTCTACCGCCACCTTCATCGCGCGCATTTCCACATGAAAAACGCTACAGTGGTTCGGTAGCCTGAAGCAAAGATTAACGGAGAGCTCTTTACAGAAAACCCCCCCTTCAACTTTCCCTCCTAGCTTCGGCTCATCCGTGAAAAAGGTCACCGCCCCTCTTCTCCAGCGGCTTCTTCCCCTCCACATCTCCCTCGTCGGGATATGAGCAGAGAAAAAGCCGCCTCGATTGGCCGCTGTGCCGCAGTGATCCAAATTTTCAGGAAGGCAGCTGAAGGAGGAGAGAATTGTGGCGTGTCCTTGTTCGGACCTCTTCAAAAGCCCAGATTCCCTGAGCCTAATAGCACACCTCGCAGCAATGCACCTACCGGCAATGTCCACAGGTGCTACATTTAATATAGCGTTGAGAGCAATCGTTGGTGTGGCTCGCAGTGCACCGGAGATTCCGATGAGCGCCGCTCTTTGGACTCGCTTAAGCTTTTTAGCCAGAGTAGTTTTTCGAGCACCCTTCACCAGACGCACACACCATAGAACAATATCGGCTTGACTGCGGTTTCGTAGAGCCAGAGCACCACCTTTGGTGAGAGTCCCCACCTTTTCACTATAGCTCCCCTGCAGCAATATAAGGCGACCGATGCCTTCTTAACTCTCTCCTCGATGTTCGGCCTCCAAGAAAGCTTTCTATCAAGGATAAGCCCTAGGTATTTCACCTTATCAAAAGGTTGAAGACGTGAACCCCCGAAAGAGGGGAGAGACACGTTTGGGGTCTTATACCTCCTAGTAAATAAAACCATTTCGATTTTACTTGGGTTGACGGCTAGGCCGCTTCTATTTGCCCAGTTGGATACCACGTTTAGGTACCCTTCAGTGAGCTCATAGACGGTATTCAGGAATTTACCTTTAACCATAAGAACCACATCATCAACATAGGCTATCACCCGACAACCTTGCTCCTCAAGTTCTATAAGTAGGTCGTTTAGCACTAAGATCCAGAGCAGTGGGGAGAGTACTCCTCCCTGCGGAGTTCCCCTATTAACCTTTCTGGTTGACTTGGCACTACCCCACTCCGCTACGACAGTTCTGTCGCAAAGAAGACTGGAAATGGGGTGTTTGAGGTTCGATTCCCCCTCAAACTTTTCGAGGGCTTTAACCACTGCCTCTGGCCGCACGTTATCGAAGGCCCCCTCGATGTCGAGAAAGGTGTCCACTGCAAATTCCTTGTGCAACAGCGCTATCTCCAGCCATGACACTACATCATGCAAAGCAGTGTCGACCGACCTGCCCTTGATATAGGCATGCTGCGCCCGTAACAGTTTGCCCCTCGGTATTCTGCACCTATTGTACAGATCCATAAGTCCCTCCAGCGATTTCAACAAAAACGAGGATAGACTGATGGATCTGAAACATTTTGCACCAACATGAGAGCTTTTACCGGCCTTCGGAATAAACGTAACCTTAACCTGTCTCCAGGCCTTCGGGACATGGCCCAATCTAACACAGTTCGCGTAGATGGGATCCAGCCAGCTACATGACACTTTAACGCTGAAGTTGCGCCGGTATGATGCCATCAGGACCCGGGCACTTGAAGGGCTTGAATGATTTCAGCGCCCAGGTAAGGTGACGCTCATCCAGAAGGTCCAAGAAGTCCACCCGCTATCTGCATTTCTTAGATACCCCACTGGAGTAGGATTTTTTGCAAGAATGCGCCTAAACCTTGAGAACTCGTGACAACCCTCTACGCTGCCGCAAAAGGCTCTCCATGAAGCCCTCTTGGCTTTCTTCAACTCGGACTTGTAAATGGCCAGTCCGGCCTTGTACAACGCCCAGTCATCACTAGGGCAACTTTTACTTGCATTATTGAAGAGTCTTCTACTCGAAGATCTAATCTCCGTTAGCGCCAAAGTCCACCAAGGGGGTTTCCCTTTACTTTTCTGAGTTTTCAGAGGACAGGAGCTTTCAAGAGTAGTTCTACTAACAGAGCTGAAGACCTCGAAGAGCTCCTCAATCGCATCCGCAGATAAGATCGAATCCCTGTCAGGCGCGGTTGCAAGAGCTGATCGAAGCTTCCTGCAATTGGTATTCCTGAAGTTTCTGCAGGTTCTATGCTTCGGGCGCGAGGCGTCCAAGCTGAACTCAATATATTTATGATCAGAAAAGGAGTGGTCGTCTAGAACTCTCCATCTCGAGATCACGGGAGCAATTTCCCTAGAGGCAAGCGTGACGTCAAGGACTTCCGCCCTGCTAGCTGTCACAAAAGTAGGGCAGTTTCCCCTATTGCTGATAAAAAGGTCTACATCACAAATCAAATCAAAAAGTGACTCACCTCTAACGTTTGTGTCCGAGCTCCCCCAGACGGTGTGCCTTGAATTGGCATTCGAGCCTATTAGAGCCTCCTTTGCGCCTGGCCTCTTCCAGAGCCATCCTCAGCAGGTCCGGAGGTGGGTCCACCTCGTCATCGTGCGGCATATAGGCTGAGACAAGCCAGATTTCTCTAGCACTGTCCTCCAGCCTAGCAGTGACGACGTCCTCGTTGCTGAAGTTAGGTAAAATAAAAACGTTAAGTTCATTTCTGACCAACAGACAGGCTCTGGTTCTACATGTGCTGCTTGCCGCCAGGAGCTTATGGCTTTTTGTTCTTAGTCCAGATATTCCATGGCTGCTCAGCCACGGTTCCTGGATAGGGACAACGTCGGCTTCGTCCCTTCCTAGACGAAGCAATAGATTGGCGGAGGCCGCCTTTGAGTGCTGAAGGTTAATTTGGTGGATCTTCATCCTCCAAACTCCTCTCCAGCAGTGCGAGTTCCGCACCATCGTCCATATCATCGACGCCAGCCTCCTCGAACAGACGCTCGAGACTGAGGACGGATCCATCATCACCTGACGATCCGCCCCCCGTGCTCACCGCGTCCAAGACGACAGGGTCGACATCCATTTTTGATAGGGAAACTTTCCCACTATCTTCCACCCCAGCAGGAGGCAGCGGGCTATCCGCCCTGGCTTCTGTTGGGAGCATTCTGAGAACGACCCTCTCGAAGCCATAGCTTATGGCCCCCTTTGTGAGACTGAAGGAGCGAGGGACTCCTTGTTTAGGAGTATCAGCGCTTGCCGATATGGTGCCTCGGTCCTCTCCAGCCTAATCACCCTCTAGTCTTGGGTGGGAAGAGATGGATTGCAGTACCGCTACATCTCTTCAATTACAGCCGGGGTAGAAGGTTCGGCGGAAGCCAGAACCGACCCCGAGGCCGCATCGGGAGATCCGATTTGGCCACCGCCTCGAGCTTGCTCCTTTCCACACCTCCCCTACCCTGGCTACCGCCTCCTTATAAAGGAGAACCGACCGTTCGTCGGCCCACCTAATTAGTTTGTGAATGCCGTGGTTCCACCCGGCACTTTCACATCTAGGGGGTGGTCCAGGGCTTTCCCTGACCACCTTTATGAAAACAGCTGATATAGCAGCCGCTACCCGCTTCCACTCGCCATGGGAGATGGCTCTATCTCACCTGCTTCGGTCGTACACACCAAGCTCCACTGAGATGGCGAGTTTAGTGATTTCACTAAACATCGGTGCGGGTCCGACCCGAGGTTTTTTGCAGAGGAAGAATTCCCCCTCCTGCGATCTCTGCCTCCTGCGATTCTGCCCCACACTTCCGCCCTACCCAAGGTTACCGTCGGCAGACTCCTGCCGACCCCCCCTGCCTTACCGCCCCCAGTAACGGTAAGCCAGGCACCCCCTGGATTGCCCTTCTCACCCTTAACCGGGGACGCTTTCGGTGAAAGTGTCCCCCCCAGGGAACCGTCCACTATAGCAGAGGTCGGTTTCGACCTGCTTCCCCCCTCGTCCTTAGTATTTTTCGTATTAATTTTGATTGGGTCCCCAGTCAGAGCCGCTATCCGCCTCCCGTAAAGGTAGTCGCCTTTTATGGTCCCAAGGTTGTCTCAGTTACGAGGGCAAGGCGAGGGTTGACGCACGCCCTTATGAGGCAGTACGTTCAGAGCCGACCAGCGCAAAGAAGGAGTCATCTTAACAAACACCTACCACACCAACTTAATGATGAGGGAAGGGGAACGTACTCCGAGGCCTGCCATGGTTTTAATGGGACGGAGGCGACCTTGGTATTAGCCCATCAGCCATTTCTGCAGGGTATCACCCCTGCATACTCAGGTGACAGAATATCACGACCACCAGCCCAGGGTTCAACCGAGCAAAGGTCAGATCCGGAGTTCAAAAAAAGCCGTAAAGGCCGCAGGTCAATAGGCGTTACCCCGGATGCACCGCGCGGAGGCGAACCTGCTCTACATCCCTGCGGCAACCATAAGAAAGAGAGCAAATATAATGGCCCACTGTAAGGATAAGATTCCCCTTGCGGGTAGGGGTAAGAATTTACCCGCGGTAAGGCATGCCTGTCGTAAAAGCCGACTAAAAGCCAAATGCACTATGACTGTTATTATGTACCTTACTCAGTAATGTCAGCATAGTATGTCAGAAATAGTGCTGTAATACTCAGCTTCAACTGATATTATAGACTTTAAATGAAAAAGCAAATAAAAAGACATTTGAAGTTCAAGCGACAAATGTCACCAGTCATTGAGTAATGGGTTGCTCAACTGACAGTAGTTTCGGCTACACAGTCTTACCGGAGACTTTCTGGTACCACGGGGCGCAGAAAGCCCTTGGACTTCGGTCCAATCTGCTCATTGGGTTATGGCCCCGTTGGGGAGATTCGTGGTGGCTGTGGTTGAAACCTAAATGCAGGAAAAACTGAAAATTCAGCCTAACTGTTTTTTCAGTTCTAAAATAAAGTTGCAAAAAGCAACTGGGTTCCGTACCCGAAAACGAAAGAGGTTTTAGGTCGGCCTCGAATCATACCAAGATGGTAGTGTGGACCCAGACACACTGCCACTGGTATCCAAATAAATACTTGAAAATATCTCGTATTGTTTGGGGCGCTTATCAATGCATTGTATTGATACGCTGTGTTTTGGAACACCATGAGGTAAGGTCGTCGCCGGCAGGTACTCACGTAAATCAACAACGAAAGTTGTAAGGATAAGGTAAGGAACGATTTATATCATATTCAAAAACCTTGTTAGATGAAATTTAAAATCTTCATTTTATTACTGTATATGAATAGTATTGCTTTGGGAGCGCTGTCAATAGGCAATTAATGCTTATTCATTGCAACTCATTCGTTTTTACACTAAGGCAACGTAGAAACTCCAACAATGCCGAGGTGTGTCATTCAACTTTATCACCTCATTTACTTTCATCAGACATTTCTCAGAATGTTTAAAATTTTATTTACTGTTTCAATTGTCATTAATTTGTTAAAAATATCTCATGAAACAACGTTTGTTTTGTTTACGTTGTCAATATTTTATATTAGATTTATTTATATACATATATGAAAACATATATTTAGTAAAAGCAAACATACGAACACACTTTGCTTCAGCAGTTTATTGTGCTTTCGCAAAATTTTGCGCAGGGTATATTAATTATGTTCACTTAACGGTTGGTTTTAATATCTTAATCTTATCAAGATGTGTTTTATATATCATAATGATTAAAATGATAAGATAAGTCCAAACTGTCGATAAATTTAGATATATTTATAGAAGTTGGGTCCTTGACCCTCTGCAACTGCATAGGAGTTATATCGGACCAATCCCACACCCACAAAATGTGATTATTTAAAACTAATAAGAAAGAGCTAAGTTCGGGAGCAACGGAACATTTTATTTTATCGCAAGGATCAAAGCCGGGAAAATTTCAGGTGTTGACAAACTTGGTATTAAAAAATGTTGCAAAAGAACTCAACATTCCTTATTCGACTTAAGGGTGAAAGGATTACTATCGTCTTTGATATCTTCGTAGACTCACTTATACTATACATCACTAAATTTATATTCGATATATTGGTATTAAAATCCACCTAAAGCCAATATTGATCAAGATAAACGGCTTCAAGTCATCGGGTATATTTGGGCTACGAAAAGGTCTCCACTAATTGCGTTAATTTGTGGTATTACTCAAGTGTATTCGGGAACAAGTTTCCATGCAATTTTATAAAGAGAACACATCTACTGACCTATATATGTGGCATATAGTCTGCTAAAATCATTATAATTTCTGATATATGTATATGGAAGCCATTTTCATAAAACTACTAGTGGACCACGCCTTGCTGTGTCTAAGGTATAATAAAATATATTTGACTAATCTGTTTAATATAGTTAAAATATTATTATCGAAGTTAATTTCGGAATTTTTTGCTGTCAATATAGCTCGATTACACAGCCAGTTTTGATTTAAGTAATTGTTATATTTTGTTTGTCTGGGAAAATACTGGCAATTAATTATTTTTTTTCCGTTTACAATAGTGCCGAAATTATCTGGCAATTAGCCTAATCCGATTGTAAATAGTATTTTGTTTATCTGTTAGTAATTTGTCTCTCTTCGCGATAATTTTAGTTAAATTACATGGTCATATTGTTTATACTTCAATATAACTCATTATACTTTATTATATACACGACGCACATGTCAACAAAATTATGTAATAAAAACAATAACTACCAGCATAAAAAAAATGTCATTGACATTAAAAACTAAAGTTTCTTTTTTAAATTTCCGATCGCCACCAAACCTTACAGGATCACTAGCTGGCCAACCTGAAGCTTCAATTTCATTGAAATCAGTCCTCCCGTTTCGGAGTTTATAAGGAACATGCGTACAAACTTTCTCTTTTATACATATATAACAACAATCAACGCTGATGATCAATTCATTATTAATTAGTAATTATTAATGGTCTCCATTCACATAAATAATAACTATCCTACCATTTAAGTTGGACAAAATTACATATATATGCCAACTTTCATGAATATCAATCGACTTGTTTTTGAGTTCATTCGGAACATACACACGGACACTGAATTTGTATATATTATATATTATATTATCTTAATATCCAATACTAAAAGTTTATTTGATCTTGCTAAAATATCTTACAAATTGACCGATATACGTGATTGTGCCACGCCCACTTTAAACATTTTTTTAAAACCACAGGTACTCCAACCTAATTCGACTTGTTGTACGAAATAAAAAAATTTTATCTCATTGGGGAGTTTATTAATGACAACTTAGAGGTTTTAGATTACTTGTATTTTGTAGGCGTGGAAATAGGCCGATTATGCTCATATGCGACACTAACTTTCTCATGGTGCACAGAATCAACAGTACAAAGTTTCATCAAGATATTTGAATGTTTGCTAATGTCATTTGACTATTTCATACCATAGACGTAAATCAAGTAAAAACACTATTCAACAGTTAGGCTTGAAACTATTAAAAGTGACATACCTGTCCAACTAATAATGCGTGGAACAAAATGTATGAAAGAAATTATTCAGCGTTATAACATGTGGACCAGCTGAAAAATAGGACAATAGGCATGACACTGGCGGCTTTTAAGAGAAATTTCATTTTCATTTCAAAACCTTTCCCTGTCCCAACATACAACAGTACATTGCTTCATTATTTTTCGGGTTTTTTTCGGTTAATTATGTGACATAATATCGAGCTATATGAATGAAGTATCTTACACCCTGTTGTAAAAGGCTACTGTTATACTAGTAATATTTCACAATAACGATTGTTTTTTAAGCTTAATTTTGGTAAATTATTCAGTTTGAAACGCTCATTAATAAATAGAAAATAAAGAAATGATAATTTTTTTAAAGTTATTCTATGTATACAAACATCAAAACTTGCAAATAGTGTAGACAACAAGACAGGTCAAGATCAGTTTCCTGATTTCGCAAATTCTACATAATATAACAAGGGCTGATATTAATCGATAGTGTACAAAATATGGCCACTGTCGACTCAAATGTCTGCGGTAGGTAGTCGATAACCACTTGTAATTTGGTATACAGTTGTCGAACGGCAACTATATTCGCGCTATTATGGATACGTAATAGGGGTGTTAGTCAAATACTAGTAGTAATAAAATTCGATGCAGAAAAATATTAAATAAGTCATATCTTTATCTGTCATTCCCATGATTTCTGTTAGCCAAGTAGAATAAAACATTTTTAATACAATATCATCGGGCATTGACTGGCAATTTATCTTCACACTCAAAGTTTTGCAGACATCTGGCAATTTTTAACACACCTTTAATTATAGCATATTGCAATAGAATGCCCCAAGATTTACACTGTTGTTCTTATTAATAATATTTGTGTATATATAATATAAGTACTTAAACAGAACGAGCCTACAAATGTTTTTAATAAAATTAGTAACAATCTAGTTTACCTTTTTTTGTTTTTGGCTTTTTCGCATTTGTTTTGGTTTATTATTAAGACGGTAAGCCAGCTGTTGAAAAGAAAACGGGTTTGATCACATTCATTTGACTTGCTAATGAGGTGGACGGAAATGAGAGTAGAAAAAAATGTTTGCATATTTTTACAATGTCTACTGCTGTGAGATGTGGTAACACTACAGTGAATGTGAAAACTGTTCACGAATTAGGTTAATATATGTGCTTCTATTTATAAAGTTTAATTTCTGGGAAAATGCTAGCAGCTTTATTATAACCAAACATGTTTTTCAAAAAACATAATTGAACAATTTTTTATTACTGAAAATTCTGGAGTAGTCTCATAAAATCGTTAAGCACATTACTTCGAAAGCACTTAGCTACTTACCTGCCATCAAAAAGGTACATTTATTTTTTCAACGACTTTTTAAATGTGTGTGTTTTTTTGTATAATTTTTTATCAAATTTTTTATCGTAGGCTTGTTTTTGTGTATTCTTAAATACATTGAAATTCTGACATTAATTTCATTATCTGTCTTTTTTTGTTTCATTTTTTTAATTAACATTTTAACCTCTGGATTTTTTTGGTGTATCTAGTCGATCCTAAAAAAATTTTATTGATTTTCGAAAAGTAAGTTATCCTGTTAAGTTTCAAATAAGTACTCTGAATATCTGAAGCTTAGAAACAAATTTCTGAAAAAAAGAGTTATATGAACCCATCTACAATTTTGTAAATTAAATAAATTATAGACATACTTGAATAAGATATAATTAAGAACATCATAGAATACTCACGTGCTTTCATTGCTGCATTTTGGTCTGAGTTTACTCTGAGATATTATATAGCTTGTATATTAATATCAACCAAATAATTTAACTTAACTTATGTGATAAAAACTCAACCCAAAGGGGCTAAATTTAATACGAGTATATTGCGTATACCAGGAAAAAGTCAACGTGAGAATCGGTAACAATTGCTAATACAATATATAGCAAGGTGGTGTTTAGGTCAAGGTCTAGACTTCATTCATATTCAAATATATAGACCACAGTATATTAAAGAAATCAACATAAACGTTCAAACATTCAGAATTTCGCTAAGATATATTATATATTTTATGGTATTTTACATATTGACCGGCATATACGGTATAAAGTCAAGCGGAAATTCGAAAATCACTCTATTAGATATATGGCGGCTATAACACCGGTTATGATAAATGAGGCTTTGACTTAATTGTATCAGATTCAAGCAATGCATGAAACCTGGCTCATTCTTGAAATTTCGCATATTGAAAAAGTGATATTTCACTGTTTATCGATCATATGATTGAAGCAGGCAAAAAACGCCCGCTTTCATTTTGGTGAAATCAAAACCGAAGCTTTTGCTTCGCTGCTGTTTTAAATTAGAATATAATTTCGAAACTGGAATTTCAGCAACAAGCTATTACTAGTTGATTTGATACCTTTATCACTCCCCCCAAACACAATCTCAACGGAAGTTCATGTCATTTGCATACTAAACAGCTATTATCCGACGACTCATAACCCACAGCTACCGGTCATCCCAAATGTCCGGCTTAGTGCGCATATATTATTATATATTTTTATTTATATAAGTCTATATAATTCAATAAATTCAACAAAAAAAAAACAACATTGCTCGTGGCATTCATATGTATAAAAGGATTACCTACGCCACTTTGCGACGCAGTTTATAGTTGACTTCGTTGTATTCAGCAGATATGAAAGTGAGTTACGGATTAACGGCATACAATCGCTTACTAATTTTTTATTCAATTGCAGTTCTTTATCATCTTCGCTTTGTTGCTGGCCATTTTAGGCACCACTTTGGGTGATGTAATACATGTAATAGAAAAAAATAGACAACAACCAAGCTCAAGTCAAGGTCCCTACACACAGAAATCCGGAACCAATTATAACAAGCCTTCCAACTATGGCCGCTAGATATACCTTAGCATTGAATGTATGTGATTTGAGTATTTCTCTAAAAAGTACTAGGTTTGAATAAATAGAGTTTCAGATATTTTGATGAAGTGAAAAAACCGTTTACTTAAACTCGTGTAAAGGAGGTATCATTCGATTTGTATTTACCCAGCATCATCATTTATAAAAGTGGAAACAAAAATTAAAAACGGTACACAAAAAGAGCCGACGATTGTAAAAATCTCAGGTGGTGTAGAATTCCCGTCGAGTGTTAGGAAATGTTTTGCAGAAAAATCGGTGAATAGTCTGAATAAGAAACAAGGAGGGCCAAGAAGTTTTTAACCGCTACCGAACCACTGATGGATTTCAAGAGAATATTTTTATGTTCCAAACACAACATAAAGCTTCGTGGGCGAAAGGTTGAATAATGACTGCCGAGGAAGGACTTAAACCCTTGAGCTACCAAGTATCAATAATGTACTTGAATATTACTTGGTGATTGAAATAATTGATATGAGAATCGAGCGGTATCCCAGCGTTCTCTAATTATTTACAAAAATTCTTTTTTTTTAAGTTCCATTGCTTTATTAATAATTTAATTATGATAATAATAATCAAGTTTAAAATGAACGCAGACACTGTGTAGAAGAAAAACCACCCGATATCTACTTCATTATTTCTTATCGTTTGTATCTGAAAACAATAACCCAAGTAATTTTTCCCTAATCCAGCACGGAGAAGTAAGTATGTTTTTTGTTTTGCAAATTGCGGCTAATTCGAAGCAACAATTGAAGTCAAAAAACTTCCAACTCGAGAAACAGAGGAATTTAAGCTTGTATAACCTCTGATTTTAAATGCGCTGTGTTAAAGTCATTGTACAGTTCATGAATCTCAAGGCTCAATTTTATGAAAAATAGGCCCACTTCTTTCACAGAAGCTTTTTGCTTACCGGATGTTGCTCTCTGACCCATTGACATTCATCATCAGACCAAATCGACTTGATTACGTATCCTAAATTTTGGCTGCACCGAAGCTTTAATACCCTATAAAGTCGCATTTATTATAACATAAAATATCTTACCTTGAGTTTGATTGCTCGGTTTGAATGGCAACTATCTGCTAAAGTACCGATTCAAAGCATTTGTTGGGAGATTGTAGCGTTGCCTCGGAAAAAAGTCCATACCAAATTTGGTGAAGATAAAATCAATCGATTAAAAAGTTTTTCATACAAAACTTGTTTTTTGGCAGTTCAGTTTGTATAGCAGCTATAAGTTATAGTGGTACAATATTACCATATGAAAAGATTGAGACTAAAACTGAGACAAGCAGACAAATTGACCTGGCTAAGTCGGCTCACGTCGTCATAGGGTCTCCTTTTGGCAATTATAAACTTCGTGGCTAACTTTATCTACCCTGTTCAGGATATATAAAGTCAAAAGTACGACTGATTAGCTCTAGCCAAATCCTTGATGGTGGACTTTGAGAAGTCGATAATGGTATGAATTTTTTTGACACAACCCTGCAATAGGGAACTCAAGAACGAAATCACTTTTAAAAATCCTTGCTTTTCAATCCAAAGTATTCAAATTAGGTATTAACTTAAGAAATCAATTATACACACTTATAATATTCAAGAGTCATCTAGTTTTTAAATTTTTTCTAAAATATCCAATGCACCACCCATACAATAGCGCACCATTACCGGCTTTTGCCGCTGCAACCAATACCGCAAGTTTTCCAAAGCAAATCCGCATAAAGCGCACAACAATCCCACCAACCACACAATCCAGGCGAATTGAAAATACTCCAAATTCAAAGGACCTTTCAATGGTACATTTCTTATACGCATACGTAATATACCCGCACGAAATCCCTCGGTATTTGCGTTTTGCAGCCATCTGACCGTCAGCCCAGCCGCCTCCGCATGTAAAATGAACCGATTCACGATGTGTTCATAAGGTGAGCGTGGCGGCAGCATGAAACCGAATGGTAGCGTGGTTATTCTTTCCTCGCACTCGTGTAATGGCTTTCGGTCCATATGCTGCTGTTGGAACAAAGCAAAGTGCATAACATCCGCACAGGCGATATAAGCGCGTGGTCGCAAAGCGAAAAGTTCATCACGCAATTCGGTGGGATCGCGCGCTATCAGCAGACGACCGAAATCCTGGGGCAAACTGCTGCTATTGCGTATGAATTCCATTTCATTATAGTTGGTATTTACACTGACATTGTGCATGAGCACAGACATCAATGTGTTCAATTGTGGACGAAATACGGATGTGGCGAGAAAGCTGGTGAGTGAAGCCTGATAGAGATTAGTCAGAATGAAGCCAAGTATTGCGGTAAGCAAAAATGTGGCGGCGCCATGCCAAC